TTATTAAAATTGTCATACTTCCTAAACATTCAGCTACAGGAATGCAGGATGGGATTTTCTGTATAACATGAGAGAAACTTGGAAAAAGAAAGCTGATGAAATTGAGTATATCAACAGAAACTTCTACTGTTAATCATGAGATACCGACAACCAACACACTCCCTAAAAGTAACCTATACTCATTGCAATTTAAAAGTAGCCTCTAAATAAACAAGTCAAACATCCAAAAAACAGTTTTACATAAATACTTACTTCAACAACACTTAACTGGCCTGAAAAACACATCTGCTCCAGATTTGAGATTAAAAAAAATAAATTTGTAAGATCAATCAACTTTACAATTGCATCCCTTTTTGCCTTCTTTTAGGAAACCCTGCAGGGACAGGAGACAGAACACCTCCCAGTCTAATAAACTTTTTAAAGTGAACTGAACTGCCAGAACAGGGAGGAAGAAAAAAACACCCCCAACACCGAAACCAAAATCAAACAAAACAGTAATTTCTTCTACCACATTTGCCTCAATCCTCCGATAAGGTTGTCCACACACAGAGTTTTACTTTTGCTGTCAGAGGTACCAAATCTTATCCCATTTTTCTGTACAGAAGCACAAGACTTCTACTATTGCAGCTCAAGTTCTCACTAGTCGAGGGAAAAGAAGTTTTCAAAATTCTCCCAAAATGATTAAGTGACTGTAACACCTGGAAAGACCCATGTAGTCCAGGTTCACCCTCGGAGCAGGGCAGCATCCAAGCTGGATGCAGCTGTCACGGCCTTCTCCAGCTGGGCTCCAAGCACTACCAGGACAGGGACTCAGAGCCCCTGCCAGCACCTCTCAGGCAGCACAGCCTGGCCGTGCAGCCTCGGGACGTCATGTACACACACAGCAAACGGGCATCAGCAAGACCTGTAACTGCTGCTGGTGGGACATTTCACTTTCAGTATAATAAGGAGCACGAAATTTCCTTCTCTTTTCCTTGAGGGTGGGGGTGGTAGGGGGTGGCTAGGGAAGAGGGTGCAAGAGCTTTCCATACGAGAAAATGAGGGAGCTGTATCTCCACTTGCAGGTTACTTTCAAAACCTGCCAAAAAAGCCATCAATCCCAAACACTCAGGTTGAATTACTACACAACTTTCATATAACAGCATTTACTGCCTCTTACCACTTTCCACTCGGTGGATTACACAGCTAAAGGCCATTTAGTAATTGTAAGACCAGAATAAACAAATGTTGTCCCAGCTTTAGGCACACCAGACCAGGTGAATAACTGATTTCCACATTCAGTCTTTTCCTATGAAAGCAGCTGGAGAGACCAACCGCACACCCAGGCAGCTTCAAAGTGCCAATCCCCCCACGCAGAAACCACACGTCATGCCGAGCCGCCTCCTACAACAGGACAGCCCGCATCTGCTCATGTGCCAGTAAATCTTCTGGAAGTTAATTAAAACCACATCGCCCTAAAAATCTTATATTTAAAAGCAAAGTTATTTATTATCAGTGCTACAGGTTCAAAAAGAAAGACAGCGCTGAAGTGAGATGTTGAAACTGATTTGACACAGGTGAAGCGTTACACAGAAGTCCGCAAGAAGTTCACAGGCAAAACGAGAAAGAAAAGAAACCAGAGCCAGGCTCTGCAAAGCAGCGGGGTCCCGGGGGGCAGCTCCGCCCGGCGACC